TTCTAATCCATTAATCAATAAATCCATTCCTTGTGCCAGGACCACACTACGTTAAATACTGTTGCTTTGTAGGAAATTTTGAAATCAGGAAGGGTAAATTTTCCTACTTTCATCTTTTTCAGGACTGTTTTGACTATTCTGTGTCCCTTGTAATTCCATATGAATTTTAGAATCTGTTTGTCAATTCGTGTAAAGAAATAACCTGGGATTCTGATAGAGATTTTGTTTAATCTGTAGATCAGTTTGGATAATATTGACATCTTAATGATATTAAATTTTCCAATTAATAAGCTTGGCATTTTTTTTTGTACTTATTTAGATCTTCTAAATTTATTTTTTAAAAAAATGTTTTCTATTTTTCAAGATGTCTTACACTTCCTTTAATAAAAATATTTCTAAATATTTTATTCTTTTTGGATGCTTTTGTAAATGGATTTATTTCCCTTGTTCATTTTTGGATTGTTCATTGCAATTATATAGAAATACAACTGATTTTTGCATATTGATCTTGTATCCTGCAGCCTTCCTGAGTGAATTTATTCATCCAAATAGATTTTTAGTGAACTTTTTAGTATTTTTACCGTGATATCATGAGAGACATCATCTCTCATGTCATCTGCAGAGAGATTAGATTGTTCTGTTTCTTCCTTTCTCATTTGCATACTTTTTCTTTCTTCCTCCCTCCCTCTTTTCCTCCCTCCCTCCTTTCCTCTTCTTCTTCTCTTCCTCCTTTTTCTTCCCCATCCCCTTCTCCTTCTTCTTCCCTTCCTCTTCCTTCTTTTTCTTTTTTTTAGAACTTCCATCACAGGTTGAATAGAAGTAGAAAGAGTAGACATCTTTTTTTGGTTTCTGATCCTAGAGGAAATCACACAGGCTATTATGTACAATGTGAGAGTTTTTTGTAGATGCCATTTATGAGGTGGAAGAAAGGTATATATGTAGAGGTGGTAAAACTATTATGTTTAATGCATGAAAATGGCAATTGAGTCAATCAAAAAGTGGGAAATTATGGCAATGGCACAGGGTTCAACCCAATATAAGGAATAGCAGGAAAAAAAAAAGTGACAAGTGAAAAATCCAGGATAGTGGTTCTTTCTGGAAGAGAGGAGGAGGATTATACTAGGAGGATCTCACAAAGGAATTCTAAGATGATTGCAAATGTCTGTTTTCAATTTGAGAGGGATGTATATGCATTTTTATTACACAAATATTCTGTGAGATCTAGAGATAAAAAACACATACTTTTTATTTATATTTCACAGATAAAATTGAAAAAATATCTTTCATTCACTAGATTTTAAATACATTCTATTATTAAAAAAATATGGTTTCAGAATGTAGAGATCATCATTATTTCAAAAGGGTCTTGTTAACTATGTTTTTCCTAGGGTCTTATCCCTTGGGTCCAGAATCAGCAGTTTTTGAATGAGGTCCAGGAAGCTGAAGCTTTAACAAGGGCCCAAGATACTGCACATAGTTTAAGGTCATCACTGAGTGTACTGTTACCCTAGCAAACACCTTGGATGCCAGTCTTGGAGCTGTCCCTAAGACATGGTGCTGAGAATAATGGAACCCAGTGATAAACAAAAGGCTCTATGAGTACTCAGTTTTTCAGGGATTCATCCATTCTCACCACAAATTATCTCCTTAATGTCAAAATGATCTCAATAAAACAAAGTTCTCCTCACTTTTCTATAACATCACATCCAACACCTACCCTACATAACAGTTATTTTAAGACAGCTGTGATTCTATTAGCTTTATTCAAACACGTTTAATGTGTGAGCTTCATCTGAAATGAATAAAAAACAAAAAAAAAATGGTGATATAGAAATAAAAATCAAATACTCAATGAAAAGGTACTAAAGCAATCAACTGTGAAGAAAGATAATGCATCTTAGCCTGGATAAGCAATAATTATGCACTTTATTATATTACTAGAGTCACTCAAAATTCTGATATATATTTAAATTAAAATAGACAAAGTTAACTGCTAAAGTAAGTGTTAAAAAAAATGACAGTAAAAGGATCTCAAGGCCCAAGTATAAGGGGCTAGGAATGGAATGTACTGGTACTAGTTAAATTTAATTGTGTTTACTGTGTGCCAGACATTGTGCCAATTGAGTTCCCAACAGTAATTATATTCTACATCAGTGTCACTCAAAGTGTAATACTTTGACTATTTACCTTGGCATTACCTATGAGCTTTTTAGAAATGCACATCAACAGGTTCACCTCAAACTACTGAGCCAAAGTCTTTGAGAACAGGTCCAGGAATCTGTGTGTTAACAATCTTTCCATTCATACACACATTAAGGTTGTAGAACAACTGTTGTAGATGTTGTGTCAAACCCACACAAATCTTATTCCTCTAACAAGAGAGTAATTTAAGAAGGGGACTGTGAGAACCAATTCAGGAATATAAGCTGTGAAATGGTGTCTTCTAAATGACTCATTGGAAAAGTCACCTCTGTATTAAAAAAAAAAAAAAAAAAAGCTAAGTGATATAGTCAGCTTTCTGGGATATCATGTCTGCAAGTGATGCAACTATCTGGTGACCTTGATAGAAACTGGTCCTAGCATGCAACCAATGAAATATTACAAAGCCAGAGAAGAGCAAGGAGCTCTGATAATGTAGTGCCTAAGGCACTTGACTGCTATCCAGAAGGCTGGCAGTTCAAACCCACCAGCCACTCCTTGGAAGGAACAGTGGGCAATCTACTTCCGTAGTGATACCACCTCGGAAACTCAAGGAGGGGTCGCTATGAGTCAGGTCTGACTCGACAGCACATAACAACAACAACAACAGAGAAGACCAAAGTCATTTTCCATATGTTGTACTGCTGTTAGTCACTATGGTGTATAAACAGTGTAGCAAAAGAATTGAAAGCAGGGACACAAAGAGATATTTATATACCAGTGTTCACTGCAGTACTATTCACAATAGCCAAAAGAAACAGACTAAATGCCCATCAGCAGATGAATGGATACAACAGAAAATGACTCAGCCACAATGAGAAATAAAGTTCTGCTGAATGCTACAACATGGGTGAATATTGAAAACGCTATGTTGAGTGAAATGTCAGTCACAAAAAGACAAACATTATATGATCCCACTTGTATGAAATAACCTAGAATAGCCAAGTCTGTAGAGATCAAAGTTTGTTAGTTGTTACCACGGGTGGTGAGGAGGAAAAAGGAAAGGGAGGTTCATTTTTTAGGGGACACTGACTTAAGGGTGATGAGAAGATTTGAAAATGGATAGTGGTGATGGTTGAACAACATAAAGAATGTAATTCATTTCACTGAATGGTACACATAAAAAATGTTTAAATGTTTTGTTACATAAATATTTACCAAAATAAAAATAAATGGTTTAACATGCCTTATTAATAAAGTAAACATTGTCACAAGAGAGAAGCTGTGTAAGTAACTAAATATAACCATATGTGAAAACATTTTTGAATTGGTAATAAACCTACTGTTTGGTTACTTGGTGCCACTCTGACAGGATGTATACCATAAATTGGAAGTCTTTAACAAACAGAAGTTTATTCTCCTACAGTTTTGGAAGCTAGAAATCTGAGTCCAAAGTGCCAGGTTCTAGGGGCTGGGTGGAAGCCCCTCGACCTTGGGCTTCAGCTCTGCCTTTTGCTCCTGGCCCACTGAAGCTGGAGGCTTTCTTCACTCAGGCAGCTACTGGCTGTTAAGGTTGGCAAACCCAAAATTGATGAGTAAAAAGAGTAAAAAAAAATATTCTTGAAAATACCAAACCACATGGCAGGACATTGATTCCAGTCCATTAAGAGTCCCAAGATTGACAGAGCATGGCACTCTGAATGAAGACTCAGCTACATGCAAGGTCCAAGCATGCCAAAAAGCTGCAGACCATTACTAAATCTCCTTATATACTGGGAGCAGACCATATCCCTAGGGCAACTACTCAGCTGCTCACAGTAGATTCCTCCATGAACTTGATTATCAGTCTCATCATGGGGAATACTACATCCAGCTGCCCAGCCTCTCAAAACCAGGCCTAGCCAAGTTGACACATAACCTTCACCACCACACCTATAAAACTTTTTAATTTTCAAAATGTAAAAAACTATTTGTTACTAGAAAAGTCAAACATTCTGATTCACCCAGTATTCTTTCACTTTGACTCATTGCAGAAGCCCGAGACTAAGCAGATGACACAATCATGAAAGACAAGGTGTTCTCCACAGGAGTTTCTTCAAGGCCACCTTCATGTCTCTGTTTCTCAGGCTGTAGATAAATGGGTTCATCATTGGGGGGACCACAGTGTACAACACTGAGGCTACTGCTATCATCTTGGAAGAATGAGTAACTGCAGAACTAATGTAAACCCCAAAAGCTGTCCCATAGAATAAGAAAACAACTGAGAGGTGAGACCCACAAGTGGAGAAAGCTTTATATATTCCACCAGCTGATGGCATTCTCAGAATTGAAGAGACAATTTTAACATAAGAGAAAATAATCCCAAAGAGAGGAACACCACCCAATATGGTGGTTACTAAATATACCAGGATTTTATTGATGAGGGTATTGGAACAGGCCAGTTTGATGACTTGAGCAAGTTCACAGAAGAAATGGGGGATATCCAGGTCTGCACAGAAGGACAGCCGCAGCAACATAAGACTGTGGAGCAAGGCATCAACCATACTAATGAGCAAGGAGAGTAGAATCAGCAAGCCACAGAGGTGGGGGTTCATGATAACGGTGTATCTCAGTGGATGGCAAATGGCCACATAGCGGTCATAGGCCATTGCTGCAAGGAGAAAATTTTCCAGCCCTGCAAAAATCAGGATGAAGCAAGCCTGAGTGAGGCAGCCTGTGTAGCTGATGGATTTGCTCTGTGTCTGGATGTTCACTAGCATCCTAGGGATGGTAGTGGTGGTGAAACAGATGTCAGTGAAGGACAGGTTGGACAGGAAGAAGTACATGGGGGAATGAAGGTGGGAGTCTGAGCTGATGGCGAGGATAATGAGCAAGTTCCCAAGCACAGTGACCAGGTATATGGTCAGGAATAGTCCAAAGAGAAAGGGCTGCAGTTCTGAATCCTCTGAGAGACCAAGGAGGAAGAATCCTGCTCCACCAGTTTGGTTTTCTGATGTCATGTTGTTCATGAGTCTGATGATGGAAGTGATAGGACAAATAACAGATCTACAAGGATTGCTTATTTTAGAAAAATTCTTGCACCTATATTGTGAAATAAAGTGATTACTACAAATCTTTCTTCTCCCTGTATCTTTCCTTCTCCCTCTCTGTCTCCCTTCACCCGTCTCTGTCCTATCCCCACTCTTCTCCCTCTGTTCTTCTCTCTCCTCCATTAGAACATCTCCCTAAAAACTTCCACCAGAATTTTTTATATAATACTTTTACTCATTATAATAATTTTACTATTATAGTTATAATAGTTATGTAGTTATAACAGTTTTACTCAAGTGCTTTCCTTGGTTTTAAAGGCATTTTACTCTCTGAACACATGGGTAGTAGCTATGTGTTTTTGAAGGACAAACAAATCTCTTTTGGTTGAAGTGCAGCTGGCATTCTTCTCAGAAGCCAGAATGGCAAGACTTCACCTCTCCTACTTTGGTCATGTTGTCAGGAAGGACCAATCCCTGGAATACACCATACTAGATAAGAACATCATACTAGATGGTGAACAAAAAAGAAAAAAAAAAAAAAGAGGAAGAACCTCAATGAAATAGATTGGCATAGTGGCTACAACGATGGGCTCAAACAGCAAAGATTGTGGGGATGACACAGGACTGGGCAGTGTTTCTTTCTGTTGTACATAGGGTTGCTATGAGTTAGAACTGACACAACAACACCTAACAACAATAACTCTTTTTATACATTAGGCCAACTGGTAGGATAAAATATAAAAAATACATAGCTTATTTCTTGGCAATTTTCTCAAGCCTTCAAAGTAGCAGAAAAACAAACTACATCTGTGTTTTAGAGCAGTGATTCTCAAACTTGTCTTTTCATCATTATCAGCTTGAAGGCTGTTAAGCTTCACCCTCAGAGTATTGGATTCCGAATTTGGATTCTAAGGGTCATATTATTTTTCTTTCTCAAAATTTCTAAAATGCTATTTCTGCTGATCTGAGGACAACACATCGAGGCCCACTGTTACAGAGTATCCACCACCGTGGCCTGTGTGTAGTCAACTCATCTGCAGGAAGGAGTAGATTTGATCGATGCACTTCATGAGGATGGGGACCTTGCTCACCAGGCTCTGCAGAGGAAGCTGGCCAGGAATCAAAGCCCACAACTCAACTCAACTTCTTCATTTTCAATTGTTCCTAATATCTGTCCTTTCTAATTTCCTATTTCCATTTAAATATTCCATAATTAAGTTCTTATCCCTTATTATATTATTATAATTAATAGTAGTATTATCAGATATTGTAATAAAAAATATCATAATTATTATAAATTGTTACCTTCACCACCACTAACACCAAGATCTGACTATTCCCAGGCATTTTCTAGGATTTACTTATATTAATTATTTTTATTCTCACCACAGACATACGAATTAGATGGTGCTCAAAACCAAAACCAAACTCACTGTCTTTGAGTCATTCCTGACCCATAGCGACCCCTCCTTGGCTTTCCGAGGCGGTATCTCTATGGTAGTAGATTGCCCAATCTTCCTTCGGAGGAATGGCTGCTGGGTTTGAACAACCAGCCTTCTGGTTAGCAATTAAATACCTTAGGCACTCCTGTATTTTATCCTTGACTTCATGTGAAAGTAAATGGAAAGTAATTTACAGATACAATGTACTTGACACTCTGGAAAGAGATAGGATTTGAACTCAGGCTTCCAGACCTTGGAGCTGACTTTATACCATCAAAAGATATGCCCTCTGACTAGGACAGGACCAGACACCCACATGGGTCAACAGATTCCATCATATGTCTCCTGAAAGTTTCCACCTGAATTAAGACCCAACTATTTTCCCTGGTGTGGAAGGAAGATGCAGCAATCTACTTCGGTAAAGATTTACTGCCTCAGAAACCCATGGGTGTCTCTATGAGTTGGAACTGACTGGATGGCAGAGAGTTTGGTTTTTGGTTTGCTTTCCATAGTATTTGATGTAATCTTCTCTCTGACCACATAGGTAGTATCTAGAAAGTGAAAACATTAAACAACCCACACTCAGGATCTGAGGTCAAGATAGGATGTGCTACCTAAAACTTCAAGTTGTTATGCTACTATGTCATTGATACTCTCTTTTCTTCCAATTCTTTGGAGATTGAAATATTATTCTTGTAAGGTGATATATATCCATTGCTGTTGAGTGATTTCCCACTCATAGTGACTCGATAGGACAAAGTACAACTGTCCCATAGGATTTCAAGGCTGAAATATTTACAGAAGCAGATGTCACATCTTTCTCTCATAGAGAAGCTGGTAGGTTTGAACTACTAACATTTCGGTTAGCAGCCATGCACTTAATCACTATGCCACCAAGACACCAACGTGATATATGTTGTTGTTGTTGTTGTTGTTTGCCGTCGAGTCGGCCCTGACTCATAGTGACCCCTCCTTGGGTTTCCGAGGCAGTA